CGCAGTGAGATCAAGTGTGTCGACTTCACGTCGCTACGCTTCGATATCATCCTTACAAATGCGTGTTTTTATATGTAGAATACATAGTATTAAGTCAAAGTCTGCAATGATGGCTCTATATACCCTACTTAAAGAAATTGTCCATACATATAAGTATAGCTGCACATATAGGTTTTAAATAGTCTAAGTCAAAAGGCCGTATGTCAAAATTGCGGTAGGCTGATTGACTCCCAAGAATCAAGCATATCGTTCGGGGGCTCTAGGTTAGAGCACGAATTCAGATACTAGTAACAAGAACGCTACTAGTAGCAAAAGGCAAATCCCGTCCGCGCCGATCTGGCAAGTCCTGATTGCTCCATCAGAAACCTTTCAATGACTGCTCAGGCCCTTCAGATATGCACTGGGGCCTTCAAAAAATCGTTTCAGAAGACTGCTTAGCCAGAAGCCCTTCAGAAGCTCTTTTTCACCACTCTGCAGCAAGATTCCAGGCCAGTGGCCCTTTCACAGAGCCTAGTGAGTCCCTGCAGAAAGTCCTCAGGCGCTACCAAGAACAGAGATTGCCTCCTCAGCTGCTGAAGGGTAGTCAGAAGGACCAGCAGCATCCAGAGGCACAGCAGGTGCAGAGCAGCCACATAGAGGCTCAGACATGCCACCAGCAGCAACACCCATCCCCTCCACACGCCATCTGTCAGAAGCAGTCCACAGACCAAAGAACTCCATAGCAAGCCAGCAGGCACAGAGGGGCATAGATTTCAGCCCACAAGCTGCTGCAGATCACTCAGAAAGCTCCAGAAACTAACTAATTAATTCATTAGAATGAAAGCAGAATGAAGGCAAATGCAAGCAGAATGAAAGCAAATGTAAGCAGAATGAAAAGAACATGAAAGCAAATGCAAGCAGAATGAAAGCAGAATGCAAGCAACATGAAAGCAGAATGAAAGCAGAATGAAAGCAAGTTCAAGCAGAATGAAAGCAAATGCAAGCAGAATGAAAGCAAATGCAAGCAGAATGAAAGCAAATGCAAGCAGAATGAAAGCAAATGCAAGCAGAGTGCAAGCAGAATGCAAGCAGAATGCAAGCAAATGCAAGCAGAATGCAAGCAGAATGAAAGCAAATGCAAGCAGAATGAAAGCAAATGCAAGCAGAATGAAAGCAAATGCAAGCAGAATGAAAGACCCTCTGCCAGATCAACACTGCCAGATGGCCTGGATTGTTTTCAGCGGTTCAGAATTTGGCTACCCCCTTAAAAAAAAGATAGAAATGCGTTTTTGTTTATAGGAGGGGTCACTAATGAGATGTTAACATTAGGTCATATAGTCATATAGGGGTTCCCCGAACAGCCACCAAACATACAAAGGCATCCGTTAAAGGGAGGTAGAGAGCGTCCTTCTCTCCCCGAGCGTCTCCTGAGCCTTCCTGCCATGGCCAGCACCATCTCCAAACTCCCTTGCGCTGTTGTGACATGCTCCAAGCTGCCCAAAAGCGTGGACGACACCTCAAAAACCAGAGAAGACGAAAGGAAGGCGAACCGGCGTACCGCTAAACCGGCGCGCCATATCATCCAAGTCGACCGCAAGCAACAGCAAGAGATGCACCAGTTTTTGGGCAAGTCAGGGATACCTACTCTGCTGCAAATACCAGGTGTTCGGGGCTCCTGGCCATACTAGGAACAAGAAGCTACTAGGGGCTCCTGGCATCACTGGGAGCAAGGACGCTACTAGGGGTACTACTAGGAACAAGAAGCTACTTAGGAAGGGAAGTTCACCCGCCGTTTGTTCACCTTCGTCTAAGTGCAAGTGGTACAAATGTCCATTGTCTATCTCCAGCAGCCTCCAGTGGTACAGATCCACACTCTTAAACACCCCTCAAAAAAAGAAGACATGTGATTCACTCTTGGCACTCACGAGCGACGACTACTAGACCTGACTGAAATCTACTGGTGTTTGCTCGCTCATCATGGTGTGGCTTTTACTTCAACCTTTGCTGGCTCTTCCAAGCTCGACATGGCAAGTTGTCTCATCCGAGGGGCATTGCTCATGACCTCGTCAATCTCCTTGGACGCTAACACTCAGAGTCGGGCTGAAAACCGGGGTCGTTGAAAGGTTTCTGTAGTAACAAGTGCATCGCTACTAGTAACAAGAGCATTACTACTAGTAACAAGAAGCTAATTAGTAGCTTCTTGTTGCTAGTAGTAATGCCCTTGCTACTAGCAGTTTCACCCCTCAGCCGACCACACTCGCTTCTGTTCTGAAATGTGGTTCGGGGTTTTTCCACCTTGGCAGCCCAAACACGGTGGGCATGGCCCATCCAAACGGATTCAAAGGAGAAGTCCTGCTCAGGTCGCCCACCGGCAGGTCCCACGGCCCCAAACCACCCAGGTTGGACACTCCGAGGAGCACTGCGGAGTGCCCCGGCAATGCCAGTGCCCACATGTGACCAACCTGGCGAGGCCCTGGATCTGAAGGGTCCAGAAGTCGTGCAGAATCTTTAGGGATTGGTATGGTCAACTCCCTTTCAACTGAACTGGTGAGCCACAGAGCTTTGGGATTTGACGAGCCCAAAACTCTCCATCCATTCACAGATGAATATCCCATCAGCGTGGTTCTCTTAAAGCCGCAAATGTCTTCCACAATCCAGGCATTGCTTGCTTGTCACGTTCACAAACAATCTGTCCGTGTGGCGAGTCATGAACCTGTCATGTGTTAAATCAGGCAAAAGGATTGTGCATCAATCTCACCCAAGACCTCCTGTCTAGAACATGGTGAAATAATCATCGGCTCATCAGACATGATGCAAGCCTTTGAGCTTTGAGTCCCCAATTCTCTGCGAGAACCAACGAGCGAGCTCAGCCGGGTTTGTTCATGCAGCATGGTTCGTGCGGCCGCACCTGTGGTTGAAACTCCAATCTCTGATAAGGCATCTGCCGTCCACTTGTTGCCCACCAACACAATGACCTTGGCACGACATGCAAGAGACACAAATGAAAAGGACATGCCTCCGTGTGGGTGTGTACCCCAACCAACAGGTGGACTGATCTATTTCCCAGGGTCGAATTAGGAGGTCTCCCTATTTTAATACACACCCATATGTCTCCAGCCTGTTTCAGAGGTGAATTGGCCAGCTGTGAACTCGACTCTGTTGTTACTCGGAGACTTGTGTCTGCTTCTGACATAGCTTCCTTCAGCTTTCAAGGTGCAAAGCCCGCACCAGCCAAAATGGATACGAGATAACCAAAGGACATACTCAATCCATCTACCTGTTGAACTAGTCTCGATTTCCGGAGACCAGACAACCTCTGCTGAAAAAACAATCAATCTTCCCTGGACCCAGCTTGTTGGCCCATCCTTTCCCTGTCAACAACTTGAGCCCCAGGCATTGAAAACGATCGTGGACACCTCAGGGGCAGTGCGCCGCACAGATCCGGTAGCCAAGGCGACCAAGGCGACGAGCCGAAACGCCGAGCCCAACTGGTTGGTTTGTGCCCCCTGCTCAGCAACTGGGAATCCATGTGTAGAAAAAGTGTTCGGAACTGAGGGATGTCGACGATGTCCCTGTTCTTCTCGCTCGACCACCTAGTCTCACACAGCAGCACTCGTCTCACAGCCTGAGATTGGATTCATTTAAGCTATCCTAAGTTTTGATCATGAAGAGATTGAACATATCAAATTCAGCCATCAAAGTGTCAAAAACATTCGATGACGTTGCCGTTTTACTTAAAGAGCTATGTTTGACATGCTTTTGATGCATCCAGCTGTGTGGTTGCTTGGATAAAACAATATGCCGCAGTTGTTGTCCTGGAAATGATTGAATCGGCTGTGGGTCATACCTTGGTTGACCTACCGGCGATACTTAGACTGCCTGAGCGCATCCCAAAGCCCTTCAGCTTAGCTGAATCCTTGGTGGACCTGGAAGGTCAAACTACAGCTACATGCTGGGCCATGTCCAGGTTTTGACCCATCCCCAATTGTGCAAGAACGTCCGCATAACATGTTGCACCATTTCTGCATCAACGGGCCCATTCCGCCTAATTTCTGACACGTTAGATGATCCGTCTCCAGTCTCACATGATGCAAACCCCTCCGCCAGCCTCAAAGCTTTGAGGCCAACCCACCTGGCGAACTCCACCTCTGGGCCCCCCCGGACCACTAAGAAGATCGTGCACCATGGAGTGTGCGGCTGCAAAAGAGAGGCAGCCATGACCTGTCACCAGATGTGGTTGGTGCTGAAATTCCTAGTTTTCAGGTGGTTTCATCTGTGAGTAGCGGCGATCAGGGTGCTGACCGGGGCGTTTCCTTGGCGGGGTCAGTACAGTCTTCAACTCCATTGAGTGGTAAAAGGGTTGCAGTTGGCTCAATTTTGCCTCAGAGGTCTGTTCCTCAAGAAGGGATTTCTGTGGGTCAGAATGACACCACTCACACACTAGGTTACACTCACTTGAAGTTGAAAGGGCCAGCTCCAATGGCCTTCTGAATGTCCTGACTTGGCATAGGGGCATATAGCAGGTCGCCGAACTTGGCGCACCAAAATCTCAGACAACCCAGGTCGCCCATCCACCTCCACTTCGATGAGCCGAGCAGCGAGAAAGGCACAGTATCGAAAAACCGATGAAGACAGGAAAGTCCTGCCGCCCCAGAGCTTGTTGAGGCTGCGGAAGGTTTCAAGCCATCCTGTGGGCATTCGAGCATTCATCTCTGACAAAACCAGATCTTTCCAGCTTAATTGGGGAAAAAAAGCCACGACCCGAATGATCTCAACACATGTTGTAACTGTTCCGTGGAGTTTTCACCGGGAAACTCATGAACTCCCGTGCTACCGACCCAATCGGATTCTGCGGGGAACCGCAGATGGTGTCGGAGTGTTGACCAGGGGCGAGCCCGCATGGCGGGACATGGCGTGGCCAGGATGTGCAAATGACCAAGCTTTGGCGAGGCGACCAGTCTCAAAACGCACCTTGTGAGATGGTCTCAAGGCGAGATGACATCGCCAACCAGTTGGCTTTAGTCTATTTTCATTGATAGTCAAGGAGAATTATCCTTGGCACCCGGGTGGGTATTGGCATCCTCTTGCAAGTGATACCCCAATGTCGGAGATACCACCATATAATATGACCACCATCACGTCGACGGCTCCAATCTCCAAGCTCTCCGTTTTGCTACACCGCCACCAATCTGCCCTTTGGCACAACCATCATTGGCTCCTCAGCCAGCTCCTCGGAGTGCGGAGTTGAAGGGATTTGAATGTGGAGTCTGAAAAACTGAGGGTGCTAGAGTCTGTTAGAGTGGGCAATCGCAAAACTCAAGCAACAACCTTGAACGAGTTTTTGACGAGTGTGGATCTAAAAACTTCGAACTCACTCTCTGCCTCGGGCCGATCGCAGCGCGTGCGCCGCCGCAGAAGCTCCTGGCGAGTGGGGCCCGTTGACCCCACGCTGAGGGTCAAAACCCAGAGCTCCAAACCAGGGTAGGTTGACCTCTTAGGTATTCCATTCTGTTCATTTTCTCTGGTCAACCCAGGTATAGCCTGCTTTTGACCCACAGCCAATATGACAAGGTCGGCTACACCCAGTGTTTAATAATCTGTCAGGTGGGAGTCAACGGCCTAGCTGCCCAGGATCGGAGCAAAACCGCACGCATGGCACCTGATGGAATCATCCAACCAAAAGGAAAACTGCCACCACAAGAACACTCGACAAGTTGATTGATCTGCGACTGCAATAGAATGATTGAAAGGAAGGCAACATTGGTTCATGACAACATTACCAAATATGAGTCGCAAGCAACGTTCAAACTTGAAGCTTTTCCCTGGAGCTGTCAAGGCTCACAAAGCCTTATGCAGCTGCAGGAAACTACTGTAACTCCTATACATGCAGACACCGAACCTGTTTGGACTGGAAGTCCTCAGGTCCTCTGCTGCTTCGAAGCATGTTTGGAATGCCTCACTGGAACAGCCTAGCCCGTGGTTGTCCTTCTCCTCCCAAACTACGCTCCTGGGGCGCAGTGAAACCGCCCCCGTGGCTCTGCAGCAGATCCTCACAATCAGACGATCAGTGCTGCGAAAATTGAAATGGCTGCACAAAGCCTCGATGGAAACACTCCCACTACCCAAAGCAAATTGCCAAAGCTGGTAGAATGTTTGGGGGGGCAACGAGCTAGACTCATGTTGATCATGATGTCCGCCACATCAAGGGAGATACAGACCTACGAGAATCGGGCACCTATCAAGTGCTGGCATCATTTCCAAACGTTGCCCCCACTTTCGCCTTCACCTGGCTCCCTTGCCCGGTCGCTGGGCACCTCCACCGTTTGGTACTCGGCGCTCATCATGCGTTGAAGGTCCACCACCTACCAACGCCCAAAAGCGACGCCCAGACGTGGCTGCTGGAGGGTGGAGGCGGTGGAGGGTAAACAAATCATCCTGCAGCACAAGCGAGGACTCGGCACCAAGAGAATTATCTGTCGTCATTGTCAGAGTGGGACATCCTGGAAGATCCTCGGCAGTCTCCTTGATGATTTGGTTTTACGCCCACATGCCAGGCGTATCACCAGGTCCCTTGTCCAACATGAAGTGATATATCCATCTCTCTCCACCCCACCAGCCCCTCCCCACCAGCGAGGCGTTCCGGCACAGGTCGGTGCGATGCCCCCTGGGCACGGGAGTGAGCTGAGTGGGAGAGGAGCTTGGGCGAGACCTGGCAGTGTTCCTTGGACGTTCCTGAAAACCATAGGGACCCCATGGGGACCCATGGCCAAGCAGAAAAAAAAAGAGAAACAGAAGTTCCCGGACACACTACGGGTCTGGGAACTCGGCACTGGATTTGATTCCTCACATTTTTCAGACAAGAGGCCCATGATGATTTAAGCGATGTGCTTGAAAGTCCGTAGGCCTGAACTTTCCAAATTGGGAGGAGAAGGCGAAAAGACATCTCAGCAAATCGCTTTAAGGCTTAAGGAACCACTTTAGTGCATCAATGCACCAACGAACTGAAGGTCCACAACATCGCCTTATTGGGACATGGTATGGCAACTGCGTTGGAACACAGTGGTGGAACACCAACTACACAAATATGTGCAAAACAAATCCTGCTAGTGGCTGTAGGTGCTTTTGCTAACCCGCGTACGCGAGCTACATATGGCAGGTGCATCCTACTAGGTGCAACTAAATGTGTTCACGGTCAATCACAGCACTTGGGTCTCCACTGCCGTTTTCTGACATCCTTTTTGATACGTGTTCCCTCCCTGCCTCACACCCAGAAAGTGGGCCAAGTGCTCAAAGACCTCTTTGAACCTCTCCCGAAAATGAGCCTTCGCAGAAAAGGTTTTCGTGCACCCAGAGCTCAAGAGCTTGGTCTGATGCAGGGATGGATGAAATTCAGTTTTAAGTTTTAACATGTTTTAACTCCCTAAAGGCCCTAGAGCCCAGCCTCTTTGTCTTGGACCAAAGGATGCTTCTAGGGACGGCCAACCTACTAGCGATGGCCTCCACCCTACTAGCAATGGCCTCCAACCCAGGTGTTCATTTTGAAGGTGCCAAGCAGGTCTGAAAGCGCCAAGGTACTTTCTCTCGGGTGATGAGGGTGAACCCTTCAGGTCCTCATCTACATTGGGTCGCTTCAAGCTAACCAATAACTCCACGCGGTCCAAAATGTGCATAAAAACGTTCATTCAACATCACCAATTTCTGAAAACAACCGGTTGAAAGCCAACCTTCAGGGACTCAAAACTGGCACCCCACCGCTTGCTTCACCTGACGTCGCCTGATGCACGGCGCGCATCTCCTCCGGCCCAAAGAGCCGCTCGAGCTGAGCCAGGTGAGCGGCAAAGGCAATCGGACGCAAGAGCCACGGCTCCTCGCCGTCGCACGGACTCGGTATGGCCGGAGGAGCCATCTTGAGAGTTCCTTCACCGGTTCAAAAACAAGGCGAAAGGGTGTGACTGACCCGCACATTTGGTTACAAGGGCCAAGTGCTAGCCCAAACATGTTGGGGGAGGACCCCAAGCTAGGTCGCCCAAAACACGCCGTGCTGTGCCTGCCTTGCTCCTCGCTTGTGACTTCGGGCGTTCGCGCCCTCTCCTCCAGCGCAGCTTTGGTGCTGGTGAAGCAGCGACCCCCAAAGCCGGAGATGCGGATCACCGGGTCCGGGTGGTGGGCATTCACCTCTACCGGTTGACACCGGGCGGATGGGGTTGAGGGTTTGGAGGTCGGTGGCGAGGGGACCAGAAGCTTAAATGAAAAAAGGACAAGGAATTCTGAGAAAGCACAAGGAGAATCTCCTACTCTGGGGGTCCTTCAGGCATATATACATGTTGGCTCTTGGAAGGGTTGTCCATTTTTTTCCTCGATCGTCTTCAAGCGGTCATGGATGGACGGTACTTCTTATTGCTCATGTTGAGACCAACCCTGTTCAAAATTCTCAAAGCCTCACCAAAATCACTGCTGAATGCCAAGTAATCGCAAACGTTGAACAACTCATTCATGTGATGGTTTTGTCTATGCATGAAAGACTACTTCATTCAGACTGCAGGCCTCACAAAGGTGGTAGAGCCAGAACCTCAAGGTCAGCGTCACGGTCAGCGTGAACCACACCTCGAGTGTTCACCTCAAAGCCTCGCTTGCACTACCAAAATGGAGGAAATGGCTAGAAGCCTCATGCAGTCAGAGACGGTCAGTGGCATCATGGGCAACGAATCAAAAGATCCCATCGGTGAAATGATTCCATTCTTCAGTCCCAACTGAAATCGTTCCCAACTGAAACAGATTCCCACTCTGTCCGATCTTGTGAAACAGATTCGTCCGGATCTGCTTCGGCACTGGGTGCCGGGCCGCTTCTCGAACCTGGGCCGCACCGGGTGCGGCCGCTTCTCGGAAGCAGAGTCAAGGTCCAAAACCGTTTGATGTGGGCACGCTTGATCTGACAAAGCTTCTAATGATTAATGGTGGCCTTTTTGCACATATTTGCACATATAGACTCATATCGATTCAACATGATTCAACTAGTCACTAGTCCTTTCACAGGCAACATTGTCAAACCTTCACCGATGATAGAGTACCCTATGCATCCTCTACGCTATTCTGACAATCATCCACACTGCTACGCCTGCCCAGTGGATCGCACAGGGCCAGGACAAGCTTAAGCCTCAGGACGGCATTGGATGAACCCACATTGGGCAATATTGATATTGGCCAAGCACTTCCAACAATGTGGTTGTGTACTCAAAGAGGGAAATCTGGTCTATGTCCTTCTTTTTTCAGCAATTAGTCTATATTAAAAAAATATATCATCTATCAGAATCTATCATCGAAAATCGTTCAAGACTTGGCGGACCTGAATCGAGTTCTGCCAGGCAGCCCAGGGATTTGTCTCATCGCCAGGCGCACCCGATGGCTGTAGTAGAGCCCCGGATGCCGTAAGCCCCGAAGCCGAGCTTTGCCACCCCGCAACCAACGGAAGTTGAAGTCCTCAACCTGTTCACACGAGCCAAAAGGCTGGGTTTCGGGGCTCTGCGTTGGGCGAGATCGATCCACTCACCGCGTCTACCTGCCTCCGCCTTGTAGGGCAAAAGAGAGTCATGTTTGTAGAAGAAATCGTCCTCGTCGTCCATGGTGAACTGGACCTCTTCCACCTAGGCAAGTCTACTCAGGTGCCGGGAGCCATACAGGCCATTCAGAATCACCTATAGAATATAGAAGGATGTGAAGAGCAATCAAGTTTTTGTGAAGTTGCAGCGAATGCCTTCGCAAGACTTTTAGGTGGGTATCCCTCAACACGATCTTCTTTTGTCTCAATCCTCAAGAGCCCTTCAAAATGTGGCCTTAAGGGCCGTGAGGCTCTTGCTCTGAATCAAATGACCAAAACATTTGGCTTGGTTGAAACAAGAACCCCACGTGGTAGCACGGTTGTCGCCTGCTTCAATCCTCTGAACAGGGTATTGGTGCCACAACTGTCCTGCAGGAGACTCTGCGCAACAACTTCACTTCCGACCAAGCCCTCAAGAGTTCTCAGCTACAATCTTGCCCGGCATATCTTTAACAGCCCCGAAAGGGCCAATATAAGGCTGATCTTTCCTAGTTGAGTTACAGATCGGCCAGGATGTCCATGTCATCAAGACCTTTCATCAGCAAATGGCAGTCCAAGCCAGCGATGACGAAGTCCAACTTCAGCTGCGACCAATGCGAGAGCTCGTTGATCTGCAGGGTGTGACAAATGTCCGGCAAGCCTCCCTACAGCCTGCGTGCCATTGTCACTGGGTTTTGCTGGGAGTCATGCACCACTTGGCTCAACAAAGTATATTAATATGATATGAGAATGTTTGAGGCTATCAGCCCCGGGGAGGAAAGCAAACAGAGCCAGATTCCCTGACACATCTTGGCAAGAACGAAATGACGATCTTCGCCCTCCTTGAGAGACGGAAAACCAGAAAAACTGTGACCTTTTGGTCCAAAACCAGCTCCACCCTGCCCCGGCACGACCCCATCGCCTGCAGCTCCTCCGGCTTCGGCACCGGCACCTGGAAGTCGAAGCGCAGCGCGTGCGCCAGGAAGGCGGGAAAGGCTCGGCGTCGCACCTGGCGGTGGGGGAGGGAAGTAGGGTGCTGATCTGATCTCCTACAGCAGGTGGGAAACGAACGCGCTTCATGACGTTTTCATGAAGTCTCAAGAGAATCGCTGCAAGGCTAGATTGGGATATCCAAGACCCTAATATGCACATGTCAAGCCCCAAAGACTTCCACAGCCTCCTTGGCCACCTCCCAGCCCTCCAACCAACCTCCTTCAGCTCACAGCCAGGAGGTGCACAAAGGCCGCCAACGAGATGCTTCGGCAGCAGCCGCAAGTGACTGCGGATGGCCTCCAGATGCGCCTCCAAGCAACCTTCGCACGTCTCCTCCTGCACATCCAGAAACGAGTCGAACCCAATCCGGAACCGTTTCGGCACCGATCGTCGGGTCGAGTCGCTGTCGCCGCGTCCGACCGCCGACACCGGCGCCGGCCTTGGGGCACGAAGCGTTTCGGGGTCGTTCCTTTGGATCCGAGTCCAAAGAGTCCAACGGGCAAACGAGAACATGAAAAATGCTCCTGCGACTCGGTGCCCATTCTCAAGGACCTGGCATAGGCCTGAAGATGTGATGGAAACAAGATCATCGGTTTTTTTCAGGTCACGCCAAATGTGATGGTCTATTTCAATGAACGGCACAAAGACCACGCGCTAACTCTGCATCCATCCCATGGCCTCGCCCTCCAGCTCCGTCTCCCAATAACGACCACCCAAGCGCCAGCAGCCGAAGGCCTGTTCTTCAACCACCTGGCAGTCCACCCAAACCACCACCCTCCACCACCCCATGGACCCTGAATCGGGGCCGACAGGTGCAAGAACGGTTTGGTTGAATTGGCGCAACTGCAAAATCTGCCAAAAAGAAGCAGTCAACTGGTCATCACTGCGTCATTACTCATTACTAATTACTGCTTACTCTGACTGTTCAAGCACCTCTACGGCACTCTACGGCCCCTTCCTTCAGACATGGGAAGAAGATGGAGCTTCCATCTTGAGCCTCGAAATGACTCTGGATGTAGTCAACCACCGCTGGATCCTCCTCTCCATGGTGCCAGGCTCGGGTCTGAGCACCTGGCGCGAAGCACAAACACAAGCGGTCGAAATCCAAACACCAGGCGTGGCAAGCTGGGGAAGCAAGCTCCCAAGGACATATCATATCTATCTATGACCTATGTGATTTAGACTGTAGCCAGCCAGTTGTGGAGCTCGAAGATTGCTTGATACAACTACTCTTGTGGCAGGTCGCGACACCACCAGCCATGCAGCAAGGCGGCAGCCAGGCGCCTTTTTGTTTCACGGGCTCACCAAGAAGTGAGCAAGTGGTTCACATGTCACGTTCTGGATACACCACACCTCCCAGAAGAAGCAAAGCTGTCATCACTCCAAAGGCCTTGGCACCTGCATTCTTGCCATAGAATTGATGGCCTTTCTCATATCCAAAGACACTCAAGCTGGTGCAAAGGGAGGCGCATGGCACCGCAATCATCTTCGTCCAAAAGACACGTTCCGAAGCCGTGCCGAAGGCGCAGGCACGCGCGCCCAGGGTGGCCAGGCAGAGCGCCGTCATCTCAAAGGCGACCAAAAAGCGCTTGGCGATGGGGTGGAACTTCTCGTTGGGGGCCAGGGCGCCAGTGGTCCTATGTCAGGGCAGTAAAAGAATCGGCCCTTTCAGTGTCTGCGAAAAGATTGAATCAGCCGCCAAAACGCCTGAGATCTCTGAAAAAGATAGAAAACCAGAAACCCCACACACAAACATCCGGGGAACCAGGCAAAAAAGAGGACTGGACTCCCCACTCTCGTCCTCACCACCCACTCCGCCCGGAAGATCATCAAAGGCGACACCAGGAAGGAAACTCCACAGACCAGGCCTAAGGCCACACTCGTGAGGCCACGAGACATGGAGACCAAACCGCTGCGGGAGGATGGTCCTTCACAAACGACGAGCACAGGATGGTCCCCTTGAGCCGCAGAACGACACGCACGAAGGCAGGCGATGTCAAGACGGACGGAGAAGGCTCAAAGGATCGCAAGCAACCAGCTCAAAGGCTCGATCGCCTTTTTTGGCACCAGGAACCTTTCTTTCTGCAAAAGAAGACCAACAGTAACAATTCTACCGCCACTCTCTGAACGCCCAATGATCTCCCAACAATCTTGCGCGTCCCATCGCCTGACCAAGGAAAGTATGGCTCGAAGTTCTCACACAGGGCAGCCGCCGCTGGTAGATAGGAGACGCGCCACATGATGCCATGGCTGGAGCGTCCGCTTTAGAACATCAATCGTATATCAGAGATGCCATCAGATCTGCTACTTTCATCTTAGCTTCAGTGCATTAAGAGGCAGTGAGCCTTCTAAGTAAACTCTTCAGGACTTTCAAGCTGCAGGCTTTCCCCCCCTCTATTTACGAGGCAATGCTATGACCTTCAAAGTTGTTCTCAACAAAATGTACAATCTTACTACACTTCACTTCGACCTGGTGTATACAGAATTTGTGTAGAGCTTCAAAAGGTGTTCGAGCTCAAAGCGCTGCCAAGGAAGCTTTGGAATGAAATGGCAATTCCATCATCACTCTCAATTTGATGTGAGTCCTTCAACTCCCTTCCTTTAGCCTTGATCTCTCCAGTTCACTCTCAATCTATGGCATTGTGCCAAAGATTGACGCACACATTCTTGAAGGTAGGACTGAGTCCAGCATTTTTTGCGCGGCCACCTCGTCGCAAACCAGGTGCTTTGCTGGCTTGCTTTTCGCTGAAATTTCTCAACGTCGGGAACGCATGGTCGGCACTTGAGGAATCGAGTCGGCGGAACGATGAACCACGATCCATATCAACGGGCATGGAAACACAGAGAGCATATTGGTGGCAGCGCTCCCTCAATCAGGATGGACGCCATCTTGTCACGACACAGGAGAGATGCTCATTTAGTCAAATGTCTCTCCCTTGCAGGCCCTTGCACGCTAAAAACGTAGCAATACAGCAACAAGATCCTTTGTGCGCCAAGACTGGGGAATTACAAGGTAGTCACTTTTCTCATGATACAAGAAAAAGCCTTCTCCAAATCTGAAATCCAAATATCCCTTCCTGGAATGGTGTGTGTGGCCAAGCAAAACCTCATCTTCGATGCCTCAGTGCCTTACCAAGCAGTCACGCTCAACTGGCTTGTGGCACTAATCTTCTCAAAAAGACTGTGCCTCCTGAGCCCAAAAACTCGGACGTTTGCACCTAGACATCCGAGGAATTAGCCAACATCCAAAACAACATACAACCCAAGACTTCCAGATTGTGCTTACAGTACTAGAAGACCCCAATGAAACAACGTGCAGCATCGAGCAATTCAAAGACGGCCCCAACCAGCATTCCTCTTTCGTGCCGCTGTCAAATTGATGCCTTTAAGGTCGGCTTGCCCAACTGGTGTCGCAAGATGTGGCACAACTTAAACGATAATAACCACAAAAAACAAAGAATACTCTCATCTTCGGGAAGCTTCGCAAACCCTTCTCCCAAAACTTATATATGTAGAAGCTCCGGTTGCATGTAACGATAATGATAGGATTTAAGCTTGGTCATCCCAGGCTATTCAGACTGCGACCACGGTAGCTCCACACTGCTGCACTTTGCTGCTCAACTGTTGCCGTAACAAAGCTCTACTGTTGTTACTGTTGCCTGTTTTTGGCTTGCCTGGGCGCCGAATAAAGTTGTCACATAAAGAATCTATGCAAGCTCACCAATCACCTCAGCAATGACAGGTTGTTTGGAGAAACAGCTTTTCCTGCAATGTACAATGTACTGTTTTTGTTGTAAGGGTCAGTTATCACTTCTCCTGGCAAGCTCCCTTCAAATCCAGAGACGTGACAG